TGGTTCCATTGAAGTGCAGATATGTAGCCGGATCCTCATTACTGTAAATAATTTGTTTGTATCCTTGTAGTCCCATCTGGTGGAATGGGCGTTGAACTCCCCTAATACTACAGTTTTGTGTGAAATGTTCAGAAAGTCAAAGTTGGGTCAATTTTGTGGTGGATTATAGACTGCATATACCTTGAAGTGGTTTTGACATTTCCAAAAATTTAATCTGACTATTTCACATATGTCTTGTGTCGAGCCCATACTCTTGATTAGATCGTAGTGTGAGGTGAAGCCTTCTTTTACCCCAGTCAGAATTCCACTTGTAACTTGCCGGTATTTAGGTTGAAGGTAGAGGGTGTAACCTGGGAATTGGTAGTACTTCAGTTTTTCATCCGAAATGTTTGATTCCATAATTGTGAATATGTATACATCAAAGGTTTGTAAGATTTTCTATACTTGGATCTTTTTGTTTAGGTTTGTAGGATTTTCTGTATTTGGATCTTTTTGTCCGTTACATTCCTCCAGCATTCCACTGGAGGATCTGAAGACATTGGCATCCCTCCAGCATTCCACTGGAGGATCTGAAGACGTTGTAATTCGCCCTGACGAGGGCGATTTCTCTTATAGGCTTTTTTCAAGCTAATCATAATAAATCGAAGTCAAATCAATTGCCGAGTGATAGAGAGCGGCATTTCGAATTAAACCACACGATGATTTGAAAGAAATAAGGATATGATTAATTATATTAAGGTGTCCAAATAGAAAAATTAGATCTGGAAGGAAATTCGATTTTCTAACAATAAGCGCGACCAGTTTTATAAATTATGTATATATATATATATATATATATATATATATGTATATGAAAGACATTTAAGAAAGTAAATTGTCTCGCACATATAATTGATTTAAGATATGCTTTTAAAATAAGGACCAAAATGAGCTCTCAATTATTAACATAGTGGGAAAGATAAAAATGAAACTTGAAATACACAAAGCTTAAACTAACGCAAATAATATTCCGAAAATTGCAATTATTAATATTTAAGATTCGATGAATAATTTATTGACAAATAACAAAGTTTTTTATAAAAAAATTTGCAACTCACTAAAATATTTGTTATGTTGCTCACCAAAAGCTCCGACGAGGTAAAGGGCGGAACTGTTAAAGGTACTTACATATTTTCGGCTAATCCGGATATTTCAGATGTAAGTTATTTATGTATCCGGTTTTTGTTAAAGAGTTAGCTGTCCGTTTTTCTTCATTAGCATTTGTTTCGTTCGATTTATTTGATATTTATCATCTGTTCACTTGGGGCATTGAGCATTTAATTCATATGCTTCCACCATTGTAATTTGTCAAATGGAGTCATTACTTGACGACTGTTTATCTTGTATTGTAAATTTAAACCATATGGTCAGCTTTTATATTAATATGTTAACTAAAGTTGATTTTTCCATCACATTTGTATCTTCCTTCTCAAGTTCTTGGTACTTCAGGCTTTTTAAAACCTAGAATTCTTAACATTTTATATTTTTCTATCTTACTTTACATTTCGCCCATTTTTCGTTCAAAATTCTCCCTTGTACCACGGAATTTGTACATTTTGCCTATTCAATAAGCCCTGTTTTGATCATTATTTTGGCTTAATAGCTAACACGCTCTTGGTATCCTTGTTAATTTAGATTACATTGGTTATGATGGTCGATGAAGAATACGTGGATGCAAATTTTGACCAAGAGGGCGAGAATTCAATGGATGTCGGTCCAGATGACTTTGGCCATGTGGTCTTTTATCGCGGCATAGAAGGCCTTGGACCATTTAGACCAAAGGTATAGAATTCGTCACTTTATTTTTATATTTAGTCTCGCCGTCGGAGATGGACTCAACGTGATATGACTAATGCTTATAATGCTGTCAAATACCAAGGCATGTCGCTTCGGGGTGCAGCAACCGCATTTAATGTTCCTGAATCCACACTACGTGATAGAGTTCATGGAAGGGTCAGCTTGGAATGCAATCGACCTGGACCTCCCACATTTTTCACTTTTGATGAAGAAAAGAAAATGGTTGACCACATCCTTTTCATGAGTAAAATAGGCTATCCTTACACCCGAAATCAAGTACTTTTTTATTGTCGATGATTATTTGATCTTTTGCAATATTGAAAATAAAGTACTGCTTGTTTTATTTAGGTAGTTGAGCTTGCGGGTGACATGACCAAAGCTGTCGGTCGCATTGCTCCTTTTAAATATCTCAATCCCAGTCAAGCTTGGTTCTACGCGTTCCTCAATCGTTGGCCAGATTTGAAGAACTTTCTTTTCGGTCCTCGTAGTAATCGGAAATCGAAAGGTGTGTCTGGGGATGCTATTCAGGCGTATTTTGAACAGCTTGATAAGGTCAGTAACTTATCGACTCTACAACTTGAAATATTTAATTTCGTTTTGAGGATAGTGGCTGTCATTCCTATTACTTGATGGGCTCGGATGTGTCTCGAACCAGTAACCTCTACAGTTTCTATTATTCCCATTGTCTGCTTATTCGTTATTCATTTACTCTAGAGATATGAATGTCTGGACAACTATTTCGACCTCGATGCTCTGTCCGAATTTCTTTTAAGTTGTTACCAAAAATGTCAAGTCTTGGAATTTCTGTGGACACATATTTAGGGGAAGTCGTTAGTTTTCATGATAGTATTTGAAATTTCATCTACTCCAGAAAATCGCAAGTTATAATTCAATAGGATTTAGCACAAATTGACTGTCCAATTAAAAGTGAATCAATCTCTATAGATGAATAATTGCAACATTAGGAAAATATCGGAGCTTAGCCGTTTCTTCGTTTTCTTTCACTTTTATCATGAAGTGCAATTCGTTTGAACTGAATTGATTTCGACTTACTTGCCTCATTCAAGTTATCTCAATTTATGAGTCATTCAAAATTTACAATGTACGAAATGTCTCATTAACCATTCATTATTGATTTTTTATTTTGCACCCAGGTATTGACGAAATACGACATTAAGGACAAGCCGGAACACATGTGGGTTGTAGATGAAGTTAGCGTGAGTTGTGAGAACCAACCGCCAAAATTGCTCCCAATCAGTGTCCAGCGAGCTCAGTCTGTTAGTTATTGGAGTCCCACGGTCGTGATTATCGGCGCTGGAAGCGCAGCTGGCGAAAAAATTCCTCCTTTCCTTCTATATCATGGCGAAACAATTACTCGTAAGTGTCAATTTTCTGTCCCAACCACCTCTAGTTCTCTTTTATTGATATTCGCCACAATAGTTGAGTTAACTTCGTAGAATTCTTAAGGCCTCTTTTGAAGTTTGAGCAATTCTGTTTGCTAATTTAATCGTAGGATTAAAGTTAATAGTAGTTTTGGAATTTCTTTCGCTGGATAGCTGGGAATAAGCGTTTCACCTAGTTACTACGGCAATTTCATCATGACGTTTCAGTTTTAGGCACGGTTACGTTGTTTTGCCGTTATATGTGCTAAGGCTTCTCAGGTCAAAAATATTTGTACGTATGCACAGTAAAAATGTATTTTGAATAAGCACAAAATATATCTTGCCTACAGCTTTTTAATTTTGCAGTCGTGATTTAGACTGATTCAAATTGTGCATATCTGTAATAGTCTGTTAAGGTCATTGAAATGTGCTAATGATATAGTAGCTTGAAACGTACGTTTGTATAACTATGGGTTTAAAACTAATTTTCTTTCGCAAGTTGTACGACAGGTTGTTTGAAAAGATGGATTCGAAGGAGTAGTCCGAATTTAAATAGGACCATAGGGTAATTTTTGGGTTTTTGAGTTTTCTAAATGCACATCACCTTTTAAGAGTGCACGCTCGAATATTTGGCTTGGTACCAAATGTGCTGCCCTCAAAATCAAATTACTTTCACTATGCTACTTATTTCACGGCAGTAGCAACTTTTTTATCGAAGTGAAGTCTGGCTGCTATTTGCGCACATCAGTTATTGGTTTTATTCCGGAAATTTTTTTCACAATATTGCTATATCTAGATCAAGGTGATAACATTGTTAAATAGTGTATGTATATGAAATACTTAATAGATAAGATGAATACCTTAATGTTTTGTAATTTAATGGCCAATAAAAGAGCTAAATGAGGCTTTTTCGGCTTTGAAATGGCAAAGATTTCCCCTGACTTATTATTCTCGAAATTTTTTGGAGAGAGAACATATATATCTTCTAGGAAAGTACCGATATGAAAGTAAAGATCTGAAACGATTTTATCGATTGCCTCAATAACAGCTATTAATCATATGTGAAGCTTACTTTGGCATTGACGAAATTTAAACTACAAATTTCGCAATTTTTCTTATTTTATAGGGGATGTCTAGCCAATAACATCTCCACTATTCTAATTTACCACGTCACCCGATTTGCTTTAGGCTTATTTAATTTTATGCTTTCACAATTGTACAGCTTACTTAAATTACAGGTTTTAATACTATTATTGCTTTTTATATCATATATTTTTCCCAGACAGCATGATGGAGGGTTCAGTTCGTGGCACGAAATTTGCCAGCACACCTTCAGGATGGGTGAATTCCGATGCCTTCATTCAATGGTTCTTAAAGCACTTTCGTCCGCAGATCGCAAAACGTCCCCTGATACTCCTATACGATGGTCACCTACAGTTTATCAGTGTTCGTGTCCTTGAACGTGCCAGGGAGGATGGGGTTCTACTTTTTCCTCTACCTCCTCACCCGGCTTACAATCACTGCATTGAAAACACCTGTTTCCATGCTTTTAATGTAAGTCATTAAAGGGGCATTTTGAGGCTGTCAGAGTCGTTTCTTCTATCTTAAACTTATAGCAGTAGACATTTTGAATACCTTAAGACGTTATGGTCAAATTGCGGAAATGTTGACATGGCTATCTCTGTCGATTTAGCGTTTTGTATAAAAAGATGTATTTGGCTCGAGTTTGGCCTGAATATTTCCATTTATTTAATCTTTCAATGAAAGTACGTACTTGTAGGATTAGTAAAACAAATCAGGCTTTATTTTTTGCCTTAAGCTGGTTGCTAATAATTGGTGAGGGACTGATTTGGTGTTGTATTGTCATGCTGGTGTTGTGTTTTTCAGAAATTTTGAGTGAAGTAGCCAACATTGTTAATTTTCATGCTCTTTGGTGTCGCATTAAATAACGAGCATCAATTGATTTAGATGTTATGAGGTTGATGCCTCCCCAGTATTGATAGTGCCAACCACATGGTTAATTCTGGCCAGTAAGAAAAGTGCTTGCATTCGAGTTCCCAAAATAGCGTAATTTCTTGCCAATCTAGTTTCAATAACATTTTTATTAAGGTTGAGGAGTCATAAATTTGGATATTGTAAACCCTTTTTGAATAACTACACTTTCCTTTCATTAGTAATGGTAGAATATATGAAAGATTTGGAAGTGTAAGGAGTAATTGAATTCTTGCAGAGCCTTGGAATTATCCTTTTGTTGAACTTCGAATTTTTTAAATGATGTTTCGTTTTAATCTCCGTTTCATTTATTTACTTCTAAATCTTATTTCGCTTTCATTAAATTATATGAGCCCTCACAGGTATAATTTCGATATTGAATTTATTGGGAAGACTGAGCGCATCTTGAAATTTGTAGATTGGCGCCAGTTTTTCAATAAACCTCTTATGATGTTCATTTCAGTTAAAGCTTCACTTTAAGGCATTTCTGGTAAGATCTGCAGAAATCGTTTCTTAAGAGCGGGGTCTAATAGTTATATGTATTCATGTAATTCTACATTTGGCAAACCAGCCCACATTCTTCGGATAGTATGTGAAAGCATGCACCCGAATTTATCTATCTAAAATGTACCTTTTTGATGTATTTTCTATCTTTGAATCAACACGTTTATTAGTCACTATAAGCTCAATTTTTAGCAAACACATCTTATCTTTTAATAGCGAAGAAATCAACAGAATTGGCGTTTGTATATACTAATCCAATGTTAAGGCGATAATGCAATTATGAATAATTAGTAAATATTTTCCGTTGTTGAAATTAACATTTTTTACCATTTTTTCATTGTTTTCAAGAGCAACACTTGCCTTTTATTATTTATGTGATTTATTAATTGCGTTACACTACACATGACTTGAGTTGAAATGAATTTAATAACGAGAACTTATATTTTCCTTCTGATTGGAATATCCTCTTGATGACTGCAAATTTCTGTGCAAAATTTTAGCTCCAAGGTTGATCAAATTTCACATTAAATTTTTTATAGCAGTGGTCTTTAGAGTACAAAGAGGTGGTTAAATAACAGTTAAATACAATTTTCATTCAAAAAATTGAGTGAAAATAGTCTAAGAAATATTAACCAAATAGCGATTAGGTACGCTTTAATGTATGTTGCTTCCAACTATACATGATTTTTTGGTTACGTGCTATCTTTGCTTTAGTGCTTAACCACAAATCCCTTCCTATGCGGCAGTACGCTGCATTTTTTTGCGCTTTTAACGACTAATGGAGGACGATGGAACTTTACCCCTTATATATTCCTATGGATCACTTATCATCCCCTTTGTCCTTTAAAAACTAAACATTCACATTTTACTACCCACTCGTTTGATTTTCTCAGTTTAATTTCTTTTTATCTTCCCAATAGTCTTACTTTGATAAACGTTTGGAGCGGTTTTACCAAAGATTTCCCAACGATCCCATCTCGAAACAAAATATAGCCCCAATTCTCACACATGCATATGAACGCGCTCTACAAGCTAGGAATATGATCAATCTCTTTGCCCGTTTGGGCATTTGTCCTTTCAATAATCTTTCTACCTCAATCGGAGCCTACTTGAACATCGTAAGTAGGAATCTATTCACTTATATTCCTCTGTTTGTGTTTGTTACTAATTGTGTCGTTTTTCTAATCCAGCCAGATGATTATGATCAGGAGGATTTCATGTTGCAGCAAGGGGAAAATGGTGAACAGGAACATAGTCATATCCCTAGCAGTAGTTCTGGTCATTGGGCAACTGCCAGCTCTTCACTCAACTTTAACTTTCAAAATGTCCTTTCCGCCGATTTGGATTACAACCGACAGATTTCGTCGCAGGTCTCTATGCCTTTAATTCCGAGACATGGTAAGACGCCATTCATGACAAATTACTCCTGTCACGTTATGGAAACCTTGCATACCTTTGCATTATTCTGTGAATAGGGCATTGACCAAACGGCAGAATGGGATTATCGTCATGTAAAGTTTTTTAATACAGCACTGTGTGTTTCAGTTGGATAGTTTAGTCCGGGTAACATAATTCTTTTTAGATTTTGACATTTCATTCATTTAGTTCTACTGTCTTTTGTAATGACCTACGGTTTGCAAAGATATAACTCTGCATTGGTTGATTATTTTTATTCATTTTCCTTACAGATCAAGGTCAATTAAAACCTTTAACAACTGTCAACCCAGTTGTTGGACCTCTAGGGGCACCAACGGTCCAAACATCATCTCCTTGCATTCGCGTTATTTCAACCAATGCTACCACTACTCCAATTACTAAAGGAAAACCCTTACAGCTCATTCCATTGCCAAAGCAAGTGACTCCAACATCAGCTCCTGGTTCCCACATTGCCATCCGTTTTCCAACCGTTAAAGAAAATCCTGCCAGTCGACCTATTCGCATATCTCAACAACCACCACAATCCAATGCTGCTACTAGTAGCAGTGGTAGTGGGCTTATTTCTACAGTAAGTACACTTTCATCTAATATTTATCTTGTTTCGAATCCCTTGCTTACTGTGTATACTTTTCATTTTAGGTACCGTCATTGTCTTCCATGAATCCTTTAGATGATTTTCCTAGCCAACCAAAAGATGTTGGCCAGATATTGTCTCTAAGTGGTGAGGATGGTGGTGTTATAGATGACATTAAAGACGCGACTGTAGCTCCGGGAATCTGTGCAATTTGTGGACAGTTGGAACCTCCTGGATTTGATTCAGAAGCAGATGATTCTGAGCTTCCTGTAAATATAGCTTTATAAATATTCTAGCATGGGCATTCAACTTCATTGATGTCTTTTATTTTTTTCTTCAGGTCGTCGATTGGATAACATGCAATTACTGCAAGAGATGGATGCACTTGAATAGTGAATGTAGTCGCAATGCTATACTCACAGACAGTGCTTTTATGTGTGCTCTCTGTCGTGCTGAATCTGAATCTATTATGCCATCTCAGGATCCAGTCCCGCAGAACACGGAAGCTCAAGAGCAGCCAGTGGTTGTTTTGTCAGCCACGCCGACATCAACGCCTGTTTTAGACTCTCAAGTATCTCCAAAGGAAGAGCTAAAGTGAAGATGAGTGTTCTTTACCACCGTTTTTAGTTGCCCTTCTCGTGTGTACTATAGGTGATTATTCTAAAGTAATTTGTACAAAGTACTGTGTTTCTTTTATGTGTTGGTTTGCGAAAAACCGCGAAAGCAAATGCGTGCGTTTATTTTTTTCTTATTTCCCTTTCTACTACCACTATTATGTTGTCCATTTTAATACTTCCTGGTATCTATCAAGATCTGAAAGTACATACTTAGACTGTATTAATTTGCCTTCTGCATTTTTTTATAGAAGTCAAGGCCACATTTCCATCTATAGTGAAATCGCCAGTAGTCCACATTTGAAATGACGTTTTTTTCATTGAATGACAAGGAAGTAACAAATAATGAATGATTATGAGCCAGAGTATGATATGAATAAACATTTACTTGCCTTTTTTGTCATCCAATTTTATAAACTAAATGATATATGCTCAGTAACAAGTTATTTTATCTCAGTTCGTATTGGGTATATGAATTTGTCAGTGGGGAAGCATATTTTTTAAGCCATTTACATTAAATAGCCAGTTCTCTGAGGCCTTATTGTACCTTAATGCTCTGATTAATTCTACTGAACATACTCACAGACAATTTCCTTTATTTAATTAGCTGTATCTTTTGAACAGGTACGAAAGTGTATATTAAACAACGCAAAAAATAAGAGTGGTTGTAAGGCTGATTTCTCCACATCTTTATTTTCCCTGACGAAGATTTTTAAACTGGTAGGCGCCCCAGCAGTATTCGAGTAATCTATTGTACCTGAGTTTTTGCGTATAGTTCAAAAATCTTTTAAGACCTTCTAAACCTATTTAGAGGAGTATTAGTAATATAGGATTCGGTACTTATTCGGCGAGAAACGTTCTACTATCTCCTTTATTGACTATAACTGACAAATGTGATTGATTATTCGTGTCACTGGGTGTGCACATCTGAGAGCATCGACCTTATGACGTCTGACCCAACAGACAAGCATGTCGACCGCAGCGCTACTGGCACAAAATCTTTCTAAATACTTCCCATCGCCAACAAACGACTCTAAATAGAGTTCATGGAAATTCAATTGTATCTTTATTTATATTGCACTGAGATATATTTCTACCTAGAGTTACAATCAGTGTTATATTTTATACATTCACGTCATATCTCCAATGCTTATTAGATATTTTATCTTGAGAAAGCGTTTCATCTTGGAGTGTTGAAGAGTGAAGAGAGGAGAGAGAAGGCGATGAGGCATTCGAGGGGATAGTATCCTCTGAAGACGAGATGGAACAGGAAAGTTCAGCAGAGTACACTGAGCAACTTCCCCCAGAAAGATGGCAGGTTTCTTCCTGATTTGATAAACCGTGACCTCTCCAATTTGGATCTGCAGACATGCAACTTCCACTCACTATGCTACTACTTGCGGAACTTCCATTATTAATTGGTGAAGGGGAAGAATCATTTCCATGCCTCCATTTTGTTGCTGCTCCTAGTATTGATTCTGACGTCCAGGTGTTGTGATTAGGTTTGCTAGAGCCATGTTGATTTGGATGAGTATGATGCCAATGCGTATGATGGATACTTGCCAAATCTCCCATTGATCGGGCACATTGACAATTGTGCTGTGGAGTTGGCGGATTCGGTATATTTTCATTTTCCAGCATCTTGAGGTGGTTGATCAGTTTCGTAAAGAGTTGCCAGTCTCCAAAGGTCATTCCAATCTCCCTTCGCAGAGATTCATTCAAACTGCAGACCGTTAATACAGCCCCACTTATGTTAAGAGCTCGAAGACGAAGAAAATAAGCGGCTATTGAAGTCGATCGGGAGATGAATTGGGGAGTTGTCTGGTGTCTGTTATTTTCAGTCGGAGTGTCGGAGGTAGATTCGGAGTTAGTTCTTGTTCGATGAGGACAATGGTTGCTATATAGATCGATCATATCGTCAACCAAACGGCAGACGTCATTCACGGTCATTTTACTCAACGGCTTCCTTGGTACTCCATTCTAAATACAATTGGATAAATCGGCAATGATATTCACTTCAGGAAATTTGGCAGTAGTTTGTCAAATATTTAGGGTTACCTTTAATCGCACTGGACAAGGTCTAACTGTTTTTGGAGGATTAATTGATATTGGCAGTAGTTCAAGGTCCCGATCTCTTAAGGACTGCAAACTCCGGTGTACTAAAAAGGTAATATCAGACTGTAATACTGCCGGTTATTTGTAGCACAGCTTATTGATACGGTGGATTAAATTATAAGTGCACGATCTCAGAAGGCTTTATAAACAGAACTATCAGATACTCTAATTAATAAAATTTTGTTCTGACTTAAGTTCAAATCGTCTCGGGAAACCATTTAATTGACAGCAGCTCTAAAATGGTGTATGGAATGGCGCATTGATAGAGAGGGCAGTTATCGGAAAGCTTTGTTCCGACAGATTGTTTAAATTCTACTTGATGGAATGCCGGTTTTTCCATTATGTCCAGATCTAGCTTGTCAGAGAGATTTAACGTTTTCTTTTCAAAGTGCCCTGAGTAGCTGAATGAAATGAGTAGTTGGGCACGCTATCTCGATTGATTCACATCTTCAAATAACTGAAACTAATTTCCTCATGGCCTGATTAATTAATTTTACTATTAATGGTAAAAGAACTATTCAATCTTTGCTACACACATATGCAAGTACGATATGCATTTTAGACATAAGCTTTATTTATTTGGCTACCATAGAAAAACTACTCTAAATGAACAATAATATATATAGCTTTAAGTAATTGTACTTATTGAGGAGGGGAAGGAAATTTACGATTTTTTCCTATTACTTAAAATCATCGAGTGATTTTTTGAATCTACATCATGTTTTCCGTATAGCATGGGCTATTCACCAGCTTCCTTCTTAATTGAATCTAATTTTAAAATATCAGATTGGTATTGATCTTCCTATGTCTTGATTGCGAATGGCATTTTGATAGACTACAGTTGGAGCAAGATCAGCCAGTAGTTATAAATTTAGCAAGACTGAAGTTCAACTATTTTATCCCCGCGTCTGTCTACACTAAAAAAAATTTCTTAAATATTCCTGACCTCTCCTTCTTCAAGAGCGTCGCCTTGTCTACCAAGGGAGTTTAATTTGGGGCCACCTGCTATAATGTTCATTTTCGCCCCTTGACAAAGATGTTTATTTGGATTCATAATACGCTGTGATGAAGTATTTCTTTCATTGGACTGTTTATTCATTATGTGCCTTGTATGCAGTCTAAGATATCTTAACCTATTTGACACGATTGTATTAAAAACAACTGTCAAACGTGATGACAGGAACCTTCATATATTAATTCAGAGGGAACCAACTGTGGACTCCTCAATTTTATTAATGATCTATAGCTAAGCAAAATACTTACAAGAATTTTGACTATTCGTTAGTATCGAAACGCAGGAGATAGCAAAAGATCTCAGAATTGAAACAGAGGTCATGTAGTGGACTTCTAGGGTGTTTCCTTACTTGAATTACTCAAGAATTATTAGTTTCACCTTCCAATAAATGCGCTTTTTTTCGAAAAGCATTCTGCTTACCTTTCACTGTCGTTTTGATATCTCAACGTTATTTTTAGAAATAGACAAAGTAGAATATCTTGTGCTCCTAATTCAAGTGAACGTTAGTGGCATAGGAAAAGAACTCAACCTATTTATCATTACTTTTCCTAAAATAATGAAGGGACCATGTTGGATGGACAAATTCTATTGTTACTTCAGTTTCTCGCGGTTAGAAAATGGGTCAACTCAACTTGACAGAATAAAATGTTCTTTTCTCGATTTACCAAAATTTAGAAGATAGCTACGTTCCTTAGTTTATACATTTTCCTGTGCATTCATTTCATTAAAAATTGTCTACCTTTTAGAATCAATTATCGTAAAAGTTCGCGCGCATATATGAACTTAATTAAGGATTTATCCTGAAATTTGCAAATAAGAAATTTCGTTTTTATATCAATTGTCTGCTTAAGCCTATCCTCATTTTATAAAACAGTTAATTTGAGTGGATTAATTGATGGTGCTAAATTTTGCAGAAGAATATTTCTTTACGGGGGATAAAGTGCCTGCTTGGTTTAATATGTTCACTACAAGCGAATATTTATGGTAAAATAAAGAGCTTCATGATTTTGAATGACAAACATTTAAAGTAGACATCTTCGATTGGAGTTTGGTAAACTGTTGATCAGTGAAAGTCGTTTTGGATTATCGATTGCTATTTCTTAATCCCTAACGGCATTAACTTTGGATGAATAATTTTTCTTTTAAATTTCGCTAAATGAATAGTCAATAATAATTGATCTTACCATGTAAATCACGACTGCTGCTTCTTATGAGAGAGAATCCGCGTCGATTTAAGAAAGCTAAAGATGAAAAAAATAATTTTAATTAATTTATGTGCTTTTTTCCGTCCATTCAGAATTCTCCTCTTTAAATGAAGGATTGCCCTTAAAATATAATTTAATAATTAAGGGTGTTATAATTCGGCCATTGTTCTATGGCATAATTTCAGCCAAAATTCTCCAATCCGTACGCAAGTTGGAGAAGTGTAAAACGCTATCTTTCAGAACTGACAACCTAGTATTATAATCGAGTTCTATAGTATGAGCTTTCTATCAAACCAGAGATTAGAGTCACGGCGATTGACCCCACTTTGGTAACTACCCATGAAACGACCTGAATCCGGTCATAGGAACAATCGATATGAAGGGATCTTTGATTCAATGAGTTGATGTAAGAAGAGCTTGGAGTAAGTTAACAGTGCTAAAAAGGGTGAGTGTAAATTTGGGTAGTCTCATGCTAATATGATTTAGTATGTTGCACCCAACTGCTTGACTACTTCCGGAAATCAAACACCCCTCCAGAACAAATGCGCTCACTGGCCCTTGAGACAATCAATGTCAACTATCCTGGAGATCAATGGCTCCAAGTCCTCACTGATGGGTCATTCATAGAAAACCAAGCAAACGTTGGTGCAAGTGTTTACTCTGAACTATTCTCTTTCTACGCACCAGCGGGACACAATAAATCCGCTATTGAAGGAGAAATAGATGCCATTAGGATAGCACTAAGCCAATTATGTTGCCTGGATACGAAATTCACCAAAGCGGTGATACTTTCGGACTCACAGTCAGCAATAAACTCAATTTGAAACAGAGATCCACCCAAAACAGATGAGATAAACGAATGTAGAAAACTCTATGAGATGCTGAGAGAGAAAAACGAAACAGTGGTCCTACAATGGATTCCTGGTCACGGTGGCATTAAAGGCAATGCGCTTGCTGACGCACTTTCTAAGAAGGGGACAACAATTTTGCAAAGCATAGACCGGCCAATGTCTTTCCACACAATGAAGGCCTTAATTAGGAGAGAATTCAAGACCTCAAGGTGCACCGAACTTAAAGCTCGAACAAAGGAGAAACATTGGACAGTGGCACTCTCCGATATAGCCGACTGGCCAAGAATCGAATCCGTTGCTGAGTTTAGACTACATACCGTACACGATTGCCTGGCAAAACACCTTCACAGATTGGGAGTATACACTCAACCCACATGCCCTCTATGTAACCTACAGGAGGAAATGGAGAGGACCCACCTGATTCAATGTCCAGCTCTAAAGACAACGACGGAAATCCAGAGATACTGGGAAGCAAGAAGACAGCTAATGAACTGCTATTAATGAATTGCTATATATGTACCCCCCCCCCCTCCCACCCATGGGGAAAGCTGAAGTCAAAGTGTAATTGCTAATGATAAATGTAATAAAACCCGCCATTTGAAAAAATTCTAATCTGAAAATAAGTAGGAATCTGTGGAAAGTAAAGACGGTAGTAAATGTGGATCGGTAAACTTCGCCAGGCAACTGATATTTGCAAAGAAAGGAGAATAAGTCGTTGGTGTGGGGGGGGGGTGAGTTCTCATAATCTGCTTTTGGATTTCTTCTCTAAGAATATTGTTCAAATTTCACTTTGGCTAAACTACGGAGGGTTCTGCTGCTATAAATTTATGTGAAATTATATCAGATTGGTGTTTTGGTTATTGGAGGATAAAATCTTCATACTTTGCACCAACTCATGCCTTTTTAACTCTCGAGATGGAAGGTGCGTCAACACATGGTATTTTAACCAGGGTCTGCTCTTTATTCTGCGATAAATGAAATTTTAAGTGGAAGAAATTAAGATAATGTTGATGAATAAAAGTAGGCAATATCAAACAGATTTTACTAACATTTCAATCTCCTGCCTAGAACCTTCAGGATCCATTAAAACTGTCTACTAAACTCCTAGGAATAAGGTTTGGTATGGCAGTAGCTTAAATCAGGCTTAAAATCACCGTGATTACGATGCTGGTGGAAACAACCACAGAGTAAAAAGGTAAGATATTGAAATCTAAGGATTTAAACCCCATCTAACTAAAAATTCAACTTGAAATAACTTGAGATGTCAAGTGAAGAGAGTCGATTCACAATTAATGTAGATAATACATATAGAAATCTTACAATCGCGCAGGTTTTAACGAATAATATGAACTTTTAAAAATTGCACTCTATTGCGAATAATACATAAAAAGGTCTATCTCACCTTGAATACGAGCCCGTGTCTTTGGATTCATTAATGGCGAAGATGCCATGACAGCCACTAAATGACGAACTGATATACTTGGTCGTGCAGCATTGGCGGTAAGACTAGGAGCCCTTGCTCTTGGTCGATAGCGGAGAAGAGATGCAAGTCGATCGGGTCCACAATCACGTGAAGCAAGCTCACTGAGTCGAAGCGCAGCGCCTGTTTGCAACCCCCCAGCAGTGTTTTGCCAGCCTCCAGATGAAGAGTGCGATCGGTGAGATGCGGGAGATTGTATCTGAGACGAGAGAGCTCCTCCTCTTGATCGGCATGCAGATAAAGCGGGTGCCAGTCTGTTTCGGAGTGGAGTAAAGTGGAGTATAATGCGAATCTGACCTATTCCAAGTGATTTGTCAAACTAAATTCTTATGACAGCTATTTTATCCTACTTCGAAGTGATGACCCGTTTATATTTGTTCGTGTATCCCTTTATCTAGTCATCTCAAATGGCGTTGGTTACATTTATCGGAGCGTTACTTGATAACAACAACTAATTTCTCTCTTCAGATGTAATCGCCTTAAAATCCTTCTACAAGGTCTACTGTGACGACTGCGGCGTGTTACGATGACTTATTGAAGGAGAGAGGTTGTTAACGTATTATGAAACATAACCGAGCGTACTAATAATGGCAATAATCTATTCGTTTCAAAATGTAATTCTTAAAGTGATATTTAAAATTAAATGTTCAATGTGATACGGGAGTGTGAAAACTATTAAATTTTGATTAAAATTTAAAAATTAAATGATAAGAATATTTGATAATTTAAAGTAAATGAATACGAATTTGAAACTAAATTTTGTAGCCTATGAGTTATATGAAACATGATTTACAATTCGATATTTTCCAACGTATTGATTAAAATTATGATAAAACATACAAATTTTACATCATTTCAACTTATCTTCCCAATACTTACAACTTCAGGAGTGTAATATGTAATAATTATTAGAAGAATTCTAATCAGCTTCTTCTTATGACTGTTTGCTACACGAATAAGCGCTGACATACCTTCAGTAAACTCTATGGCAAACTATCTTAGCATGGATAGGCTCCCGAAATGGACACATAAAACGTTTATTAAAAATTATAACCACAGAAGAACATGGTTAGTGACTGAATATATTCAACATAACTTGAGTGGACTTTAATAGATGACTTGCAGATGAGTCCTCTGCAAGCACGACCGCACCCTCTAGATTGTTCGAGCGCGCATACGATTGTCTACTTTATTCGTGCCAGGATTGTGTACTCCAAAATCCATATGCCCGTATATTCCATTGATTCAATTTTTAAAACGCTATTTCATCAATAAAGCTTTAAAATTAAAGTATGATTAACTTAGTTAAACCAAAAACGACATCGACAGATAAGAGTCAATCACATTGGAAGAAGATTTGAGCAAAGTTTAACAATCACTATGTATTTAGTTCATTTAATGAAGAGATTATTTGTCACACTCTGTTAAGCACATAGTTTGAGATCATGAAGACGGTGAAAGCTAAGTTATCCTCAATTATGCCACTTATCTGAATTTTAGACCAAAATTTGCTTTTCGCTTGAGTAAATGCATTAATTTTGATTAACTATTTAAACGAAAAATGACTTACGCTTTATTATAAATACCACCAAAAGTTCACAAAATGCGAATTTTGAAGTTTTAAATTCGACAACAAAGCTATAAATTTGCAGATTTAGTGTAAAATCAACTTTAATTAAATTAAATAGAGATATAATGTCATTATAAAGACAGCTTAGAGTCATGTAATTGGAATATCAAATTGAGCTGCAGTGAAAAATAGAAAAGAATAATATACAAATAGCAATAAGAGCATTCGCAACTATGTTGAAAATCTTATTCCTTATTTCGATTTTTATAAAGTAGTTAGAGAAATTTAAACAATGCGCACCGTTCCAGAACACGCGAATAAAGCATGGGCAATGTGTCTTCTGGCAGAACAGGCTGACTTGCTGTCGATGCAGTATTCTCATCATCATCATCATCATCGTCATCGGAACTGTCACCATCGCTTCCAATGATCCCAGGAATGCGAATTCGCTGTCGCATTGTCTGACCAGCCCCACCGGATAAATAGTGTTCCTCAAGAAAAAGACTCAACCAGGCAGAGTGGAAGGGCCAGTGAACCAGAAGACAGATCCAGGTTGTTGCAACTTCCAGTAAATTAGACCAATTGCTCAGATTTTCACTCGCTTTTAACATGCGTCCTAAAAGCAAAGAACTAGTACTAAATAACTGACGAATCACTAAGATGGGAAATATTCCCGTTAGAAACTCAAATTAATTAGTTAATCAATGAATGCCGCACATTACGGATGTATACACCCTTTAGAGATAGGCAATGAAAGATGGAAGTAGGATAGCGAAGCAATTATTATGTGCTAAAAGGTAGAAAAATATAAATACTGGAACCAGGAATTTCGTTGCCTAGATTTACTTTCCTAATACTGAGTTAATTTGTTGTTTAAAGTGTTAGGATGCCATTCCATGAAATAGGTTTGGGTACCAATTCACCACTTTCACAAATAATAATTTCCGATTTTGCCTATTCATTTCTGACTTCTTCATTAATATTGAATTCAAAGGAGGACGAGGCACGTTATTAGCTATCACATTCATATTGGATTATATAATGCGATTTACATGGGGACTTATCGAGACATTTTATCGTGACATTTTATGTACATAATCAAAAATTTAAAAAATAGTCATTATAGTTTACTAATCAATAAAAAAACATTTTTTAGGGAATTTGTCATTTAAAGGTGCTAGAAATCACTAAATAGGTGAACTTAAAGTAACGGAGTTATAATCCTTTGTATAAGAAAAATATGCCATAAGTTACGATTTAATTTTGCACAATAACTTTGAGGAGTAAAATGAAATTAAATTTAAAAATTTTGGTTAATTCATTACAAAAAACACTTTTTTGACTTTTGTAAGCAAAAATATACATAAGCCAATTTGACGCAAAGGGTACAGGCTGGTTTTTATTATGCCGCTCACATAACCGTGTAAATATTCATTAAAACGAAATCTTATTTCATCTCCTGGCAAATCTCTTTTTAGCTTATTTAAACAATTCCGTATGGATTACCGCATTGCACATTGTCAGGCTTTAATCTGCCACCATTTATCCATTAACAATAAAACATGTATTAAAAATAAAAACATTGTTGAGAAAAACTTACCTAAAAACGCCATATGAATTAAAATGTGTTTGAGCTTGGAGACGTTAATATCTGCCAAAGGATGTTCCTCCACAAAGAAATCAGGAAAGCTTAAAGACGAAGGCCAAACATCCGGTGGACAACTTGAATCAGTAGAGTGATTCCTCTTTGTTAAATGGCGTGACTCCTAAAGTGAAAACGAAAATTCTACTACAGATAAGGAAAGCATGTCGGTGATAACCACCAACTCTAACGGTGGGCGAGGTTTAAATAAACTTGAACGAACAGATAACCAGACAAATTCTGAATTCAAACAATGCAAAGTTATCCTCTTTGGATTTCTTCTGAACTCAAACCTTTTCTTCAATTTTAAATACGTTTTCCATGTTAACATGCAGAGATCATGATTAATATTTTCTACTAAATTATAAATAATCGATCTACGAACTACACAATTGCACAAAAATGCACATTATTCTGTATCTAAAAATAAATTCAAAATTAAAGCCATATCGATTTATGACAAAAATTTTCTCTTGCAGAAATTGTTGCTGGAACACTAAAGTTACAAATAGTTGCACGATTTCAAACAGAAGATTAGAAATCGTTCTAACTTAATGGTTTACTTTCAGCTTATACTAAATGAGGTGATATTTCGAATGAGGAGTTTTAACACCAGGATACCAAAATAAATTATGCATTAAAAGTGCTTTTACTTCGGTGCACTGACGTTTTAATGGTAGTGAAAATCCGTGTTCATCGTGCTTCTTGGATGCAAAATTCACCAAAATAGTAATTCTTTCGGGCTCGCGATTAGCCGCAAATTCATTTGGAAACAGAGAACTAACCCACAAAAGCCGAGATACGCGAATGTAGAAAACTCTATTAGTTGCTGAGAGAAAAAAACAAAACATTTGTTCTTAAATAGAACCCTGGTCATTGTGGTATTATAGGGATTGAGTGAGCTGATACACAGATAAGAATGGGACCAAAATATTGCACGGCATAGACCGGCCAATGTCTTTTCATACAATGAAGAGCTTAATCAGGAGAGAAACTGAGACTTCACGAAGCAACGAACTTAAAGCTCGAACAAAGGAGAAGCAGTGGACAGTGGCACTAGAAGCTCGAACAAAGGAGAAACAGTGGACAGTGGCACTCTCAACCTAGCTAACTGGCCAAAAATCGAAGCTGTTGCAGACTTTAGACTACGTACCAAACATGATTGCCTGGCGAAACATAGCAACAGAATAGGTGCATGCGCTCAACCAACATGCCCTTTATTTGACCTACATGAGGAAATGGAGAAGACCCACCTTATTCGGTGTCCAGCCCTAAAGACAACGACGGAATCCCAAAGATATTGGGAAGCCCGAAGCAACTAATGAACTACTGTTAACTGTCATAAAGCCTTAATATATGTTCCTCCTCCCATTATGAGAACCAAAGTCAACTAAGGGGCTAATTATAAATATCATAAAGTCTGGCATTTGATATAATAATGTTCATCGGTACAAATCAAATGATTTAAATAGTCGCCTTAACTGATTCATTATTGTTACTTGATAGAATTTGAATTTCTTATGAGTGATTTCCCTGATCATTCNGGTTTAAATAAACTTGAACGAACAGATAACCAGACAAATTCTGAATTCAAACAATGCAAAGTTATCCTCTTTGGATTTCTTCTGAACTCAAACCTTTTCTTCAATTTTAAATACGTTTTCCATGTTAACATGCAGAGATCATGATTAATATTTTCTACTAAATTATAAATAATCGATCTACGAACTACACAATTGCACAAAAATGCACATTATTCTGTATCTAAAAATAAATTCAAAATTAAAGCCATATCGATTTATGACAAAAATTTTCTCTTGCAGAAATTGTTGCTGGAACACTAAAGTTACAAATAGTTGCACGATTTCAAACAGAAGATTAGAAATCGTTCTAACTTAATGGTTTACTTTCAGCTTATACTAAATCGGCATTCGATTTGATTTCGATTTATTATGATAAGCTTGAAAAAAGGCTATAAGAGATTATGATTAGATTGAAAAAAGGCTATAAGAGAAATCGCCCTTATTAGCTTTGAAAAAGGCTATAAGAAAAATCGCCCTCGCAGAGCTTGAAAAAAGGCTATAAGAGAAATCGTCCTCGTCAGGGCGAATCACAACGTCTTCAGATCCTCCAGTGGAATGCTGGAGGGATGTCACAGGACATAAAGATCAAAATCCAGAAAATCTTAAAAACCTATGATGTAGACATATTCACAATTTTGCAAGCAATCCTTAAGGATAACAAACTGAAATACTACCAATTCCCTTCAAGTTGCAAGTAGAATTCTGACTGGAGTAAAAGATGGCCTCACAACTCATTACGAATTAGTCAAGAGTATGGGCTTGATGCGAGACATATGCGAAATAATCAGATTAAATGTTTGGAAATGTCAAAAACACTTCAAGGTGTATGCAGCCTATAATCCACCCCAGAATTGTCCCAACTTTGACTTTCTGAACATCTCACACAAAACTGTAGTATTAGGAGACTTCAACGTCCATTCCACCAGATGGGGCTACAAGGATACAAACATAGCTGGAAAGGAAATCGAAGACATGCCAAACAGCAACCCTCTGGAACTTATTTATAGCAATGAGAATCGGGCTACATATTTGCACTACAACGGAACTAGAACAACTCCTGACTTACTCCTGGCTTCAACCGACATCAGCGAGCATGTTTGATGATCCTGGTTTTCTGGTCACAAACCAGTCATTGCTAGTATTACCATCGGTTGCAAAAGCATGAGCTGGTCACAAACCAGTCATTGCTAGTATTACCATCGGCAACAAAAAGAATGACAACGAAAGTGTCAACTAAGCTATCAGGGAACTTCAAGAAGGCTGACTGGTCTAGATTCGCAAACGTTTAGAGAATGAACTTCACACATGTTATTCACTAATCTTTTAGACAATGAACTTCACACAAGTCCCCCCACAAACCTTTTGGAGAATGAACTTCACACAAGTCCCCACGGGATGAAATTTATTCAAGTCCCCTCATCTTCAACCAACATTCCTACAAACTTTGCAATGACGAATATTATGATCAGATGTGCAAAGAAAACTATTCCCCTTATATTATACAACTTCAACCAACATCCTGACAAACTTTGCAAAGATATCGCGAATATTATGATTTAGATGTGCAAAACTATTCCCCGAGGTAAAACTAAACACTATCGAGTGTTACTATTCCCCGAGGCAAGACTAAACATTATCGAGTGTTTTGTTATTCCCCGAGGCAAGACTAAACACTATCGAGTGTTTTGGTGTCCCCGAGGCAAAACTAAACACTATCGAGTGTTTTGGTCTGAACATCTTGAGGAACCGAAAAGAAAGCGAGACGGCCCTCGCAACACTGCTGTTTAGACTGGAAGAACGGAAGACGTACAAGTCTGGAGACGACAATCAGTTGTCCTAAGGCAATCCATCTTACAAGCTAAACGGGGGCTTTCGACAAGTTCATCTCAAATATCACCTATCAAAGTGATGCTGTTCTAAGACAAGCCATCTTACAAGCTAAACGGACTTCCACTATGGCAAGCCATCTTGCAAGCTAAACGCACTTCTTTCGAATCTCAAATATCAACTATCAAAGTGATACCCAACGCACTTTCCAACAATATCAACTATCAAAGTGATAGCCAACGCACTTTCAAATTTCTGGAAAGTGATAGCCAACGCACTTTCAAATTTCTGGGTAACCTCCAAAACAACAATCTGCTTACCACCGACTCTGAAATAGCTAATTGCTTTGCGAGAATCTATTCCCACAAGCAAAGGAAAAACCCTTTTATCAGAAAATCTTCAAGAGATGTAAAGATACAAGTAAGACAGTTTGGTGAAGTCAAGGAAGACATAGCAACACCAAATAATGTACTTACCGAACCATTCCGACCTTGCGAACTGAATGCTGCGATAACACAACTCAAGGGCAAAAAGTCTCTTGGCAAAGACGGTATTCATTCGGAATTTCTAATTAGAATGGAACCGAAAGCCAAGTTAACCATGCTGACCCTTTTCAACAAAATCTAAGAGACTAGTCTCGTACCTAATCAATGGAAAGTTGCCATAGTAATACCAGTACTAAAAAAGGGCAAAGACCCTAGCAACTTTGACAACTATAGGCCTACCTCCCTCACAAGCGTGATGGCTAAACTTATGGAAAGAATGGTTAACAGGAGGCTGACCTGGTTCCTTGAGATTAACAATATTCTTAGGAGTGAACAAGCAGGTTTTAGGCCACAAAGATCAACGAACCAACAAGTAGCCACTTTCTCCCAACACATCAAAGATGCCCTTGATGCAAGAAATACCCTTACGGCTGTTTTCGTCGATTTCAAATCAACATATGACTAAGTATGGAAAGAGAAGCTAATTCTAAAATTGGCAAAAATTGGTATTAAGCATAACATGCTAAATTGGATAAAAGCGTTCATTAGACAAAGATCATATAAAGCCAGTTATGGAAATGCTCTATCAAAATACAATCTTTTACAAACAGGCCTTCCACGGGGAGCTGTCACAAGCTGCACTCTTTTCAATGTCTTCATTAATGACATGGCCGAATTGGTACAGACAGTCACGGGCGTTAAGTGCTTACTTTATGCAGATGATCTTGTTCTGTGGTATTCCGCCCCTAAGAAAAACACTAAGGAGAGGACAGAAAGTGCTCTTGATGGTGAACTTAAACTACTAGCAAACTGGTGTGACCCTAGAAAAAACCAATGAGTTCACTTATCTCGGAATGACGTTTGACACAAAGCTAACGTGGAAAAGTCACATTGCTAAAATGGCAGAACGCGTCTCCAATAGACTGAATGTCCTGAAGCGTCTTGCTGGTAGCGTATGGGGATGTGCTCGCTCAACTCTCAACACCACTTACAAGATGTTTATTCAGCCAATAATGTTGAATTGCTGTGAGCCACTCATTACAGCCACAGAGGTGACTCTCAAACCACTCGAGAATGCATACAAACAAGCATTACAACTAATTACTGGAGGGATAAAATCAACACCCATTGATGCAATGCTCCTAGTTACAGGAAGCACCACAATAGGTTCCCATATCAAAGAGAAGGCCTTGATCATGTATGAGAAACTACTATGCATTCCCATGAATATATTCTTCGGAACTTATGAGAATAGACCAAGACAACTGAAAACGCAATCTGGTCTAAAACAGAAAGCCATAGAACTGAAGAAAGAATTACAAATCGA